AGAGGAGGAAATCCCACGTGCGGCTGCTGATCCTCAGCCTGGCGCTGGCCGACCTGCTGGTGACGGTGGTGGTGATGCCCCTGGACGCGGCGTGGAACGTGACAGTGCAATGGTACGGAGGAGATGTCTCTTGCAAGCTTCTCAACTTCCTCAAGCTCTTCGCCATGTACGCGGCCGCCCTGGTGCTGGTGGTCATCAGCCTGGACCGGCACGCTGCCGTCCTCCATCCCTTCTCCCGCGCTCGACGCCGCAATGGGCTGCTGCTCTGCGCCGCCTGGGCCAGCAGCGTGCTCCTGGCTTTGCCCCAGGTACGGATCGGTGGCCTCCTCGGGTGGTTTGCCCAGCCTAGGGTGGTTTTGGAGATGGGCGTCTCCATCCCTTGAACACTTGGAGATGTTCAAGGCCAGGCTGGATGAGGCTTTGAGCAACCTGGGCTGGTGGGAGATGTCCCTGCCTATGACAGGGGGGTTGGGACTCGCAACCCATTCTGTGATTCTATGATCCTGGCAGCCCCAACAGGTCCATCCCAATCCCGAGGCTCCACCACCACCAGATTGGCTTTGCTGAGCGAAGCGGTGGGGTTGCTGCGTTGAGTGCTCAGCGCTGCGTTGCACCTTCCTTGTAGCACCCGTTCATTGCAACACCATCAGGGTGTTACACTAAGGGCTGGGAAAAAATTGTCCCCACTGTTTTTTATTCCTGATGCACATGGTTATCTTAGAATCACAGAATCATAGAATCATGGAATAGTGTGGGTTGGAAAGGACCTTAAAAATCATCTAGTTCCAAACCCCCTGCCATGGGGAGGGACACCTTCCACTAGACCAGGTTGTTTCCCCTAAAAATGCATCACTGCACCACTGCAAAACACATTGGAGCAGACCAAGACAACCCTGGGAAGTTCCTGACCAAAATAACATTTGGTATGGCCAGAAAATGGGATTTCAGAGCCGTCAGATCCCATCCATCCTGGCCGTCACCATGAGTTAGGTGCCCGGAGCGTCTCTCCCAGTCTGACAGTCCATGCCCAGCCAGGAGCATCTGCAGGACATGGTGCCCTGAAGCCTTTTTGAATTATTCTGTGGTTCTCCATTTCAGCTTTTCCTCTTCCACCTGCACACGGTGCCAGGAGTGAACTTCACCCAGTGTGTTACACACGGGAGCTTCCGAGCACACTGGGAGGAAACTGTCTACAACATGTTCACCTTCACCACCCTCTACATCACCCCCCTGAGCATCATGATTGTGTGCTACATCCGCATCATCTGGGAGATCAGTAAGCAGCTAAAGATCAATAAAGGTAAGCGGGTCCCAGCCCTTTAGTGTCCACATGGTCCTGTGACCGAACCTGGTCCATCCTGGAGTATTGTTGGGTCTGTCCCAACACCCTTTGAAGGACAACCCAACGAAGGGGTTCTACACAACCTTCTTGACCCCCCTCTTTGCTGCCTTCTGCTTCCTGTGGGCCATGGAGCAGACCATGAGATGGTCTCCCCTCTCTGGCAGAAGCACAGTCATGGATGGTTATGTTCTCCTGGTTTTCTCCAGCCATCTTTTTGACTCTCTCTGGCAGGTTTGATAAGAAATCAAAATGACCACATCTCCAAGGCACGCATGAAGACTCTCAAGATGACCATTGTGATCGTTGCCACCTTCATCATCTGCTGGACCCCATACTACCTCCTGGGCTTGTGGTACTGGTTCCAGCCAGCCATGATCCAGAAGATGCCGGAGTATGTCAACCACAGCTTCTTTCTCTTTGGCTTGCTGCACACCTGCACTGACCCCGTCATTTACGGACTGTACACCCCCTCCTTTCGGGAGGACGTGCAGTTGTGTCTCAGGGGCATTGAAACAGCCATTTCCAGGCACGAGAGACACAAACCCGTCTCGGTCACAGAGAAGAACGTCAAGGATGGTGCTGGAAATGGTGGAGTGGCATCAGGGGGCTCCAATGGGACAACTGTCAACACGGTTTGCTGAAGAGACGTACCCACAAGGGGACAGGAGGCACAGCTTTGGGGGGTGCTTCGTCCCATAGAATCATTCTGGAGACTGGCAAAAGGAGGTTTGCCACCCAAATGTGGTGGGTGGTCTCTGGCCACAAACTGTGGAAGTGTCTCCTGCCTGTACTCAGGGTGAAAAACACTTAGGGGTAGTTATGGTCATTCCTCCATATTCCATCAGCCCCGTGACAACCAGAAAGTCATGGGTTTTGTACCCTGTGCATGCTCTAGCCCTGATACTGGGATCAAGAATCTGCCACACTTCCAGCATCAACCCCTGGGAGGAGACATGCTGGCTCCTCCCTGGTCCAGGGCCATGTCTGCTGGGGTGGCCAGTCTGTGAGTGCCCTTCGCACCTACACCCAGGTGTGGAGCTGCAAGGATGTGGAGTGCTAAGAGGTGTCACGCCGAGGGGCTGCAAAGGTGCCATCACAGCCCTTAGTCTGTTTTCTCCACCCATTGTAGGAAAAGCTCTTTGGAAATTTCAGATCTCCTGGCTCAGAGACTGCCTGGTTCTCCTACGGCCACGTGCGAAGCCATGGGAAGGATTTAGATCTTTGGGAAGTGACTAATGTAGGGTCATTATCCCTCCCAGGCTGCCTCCATGGTGGAGATGGAGGGGCTTGGGCAAGAGGGGTATGGAGAACCACAATGGGATGGGATGGGATGGGATGGGATGGGATGCAGTGGAACAGGGTTTCTTCTCCCTTTTGGACACAGCCGGAAGGGAAAACAGTCCCTGGCACGCTGGGGGAGGTAGGAACACATCCTTACGTAGCAGCTCTCTAGGACACAGGGTTGACCAGGAGAGAATATGTGGGGTTAGGTGAGAACCAGACCCAACAGTGCCCAGCCCCTCGTGACCTGCTTCTGTCCCCAGCCCCTCTCCAGGGCTCTTGGACCCCACCCAGCCCCGAGCAGGGTGGGTGCAGCCGCCCCGCAGGTGGTGCTGGGGTGTCCCAACGAGGAAGGTGATGGGAAGCACCTGTGGGTGGAGGAGCTCATCAGCACCCATAGGGGCCAGCTGGGGGCTGGTGGTCTTTGGCTGCACTGTGAGGGTGAGGAGGTTGCTGGAGAGGATTGGCTGAGCTGTGCTGAGTAAAATGGATTTGTTTTTTGCTTTTCACCAATGTGCCAGAAGTTGCTTGTGAAGGTGGGAGCCTCTTCTCTGAGTGTGGGTTGAAGAGGTGGCTTTATTCAACTGTGCTGTTCCCTTTTGTGCCATTAGAAATAGTGGATTATTTACTTGTCTGTGATGTGCTGATTGTTGTTAGATGCATTTTTTGCTTTTGAAGAGAGATTCAGTTTGGAGCCAGGTGGAGTGTTTTTGTTTGGTTGGTTGGTTGGTTTTGTGGACTCTTTGGGCAGCTCATGAGCTCTGTGGCTGCTGCAGCTTTGAATGAGCATCTGGACTTTATCAGGCTGAAAGAGATTTGTTTTAAAAACAGTTCTTAACTTACTGTGGCTGCGTGCGTAGGGAGGATGGGAGGCGGCTCCCTCCAAGAAAGCAAATCTTCTTTGGGGTCTGAGGGGGCTTTCCCAACCCTGTCTCCAAGAGGGGATGGATCCCCATCAGTCAGAAAGGATCTGGACTGGTCTCCTAGAGCCCCAACTAACAAATTATTAAAATTGGACAGGTGGCAAGTGGTGTTTGTATGTTGGCCGAAGCTGGGCGGTGAGGATGTGGGGAGACACAGTGATGCCAAGCTATGGACGGGCATCAGATTCCTCCCTTTCCCCACGCTCAGTATCATTTATGCTAAATAAGGAGGAAAAAAAAAAATTCAGTTAGAGCTGCAGGAGCTCAGACCGGCCGGTGGGGATTAGTGTGGGCTCTTTAGAAAGCATCCAAAGTCTACTGAGATGCGTAATCGCCGTTTGGCTTTCCTGGGCTCATTCTGCTCAAGTTTAATTACACAATGCTAACAGGAGCGGGGCTCGCCGCTGCCAGGCTGGCTCGGCTCAACCAGTGCAAATAAGAGTTTCTTGCAAAGTAGGATGGGAATGAGTCGCAGTAGAGGAAGCGAATTTATTCATCAGACACTCATTTGGTCTCTGTTTATATTGCTGACGATGGCTAATGGGAGGCAGACCTTGAAGGTGTGTTGACTTTCTGGCAAGCCTCAAATAAGCAGGAAAGCGTCTTTAAGCTCCTAAAAAATTGGGATGCTGGCGAAGACACGTACCTCGGCCCTTGCGGGAAGCGTGACACATCCCTCAGGATGCTCACTGGCAGGGGCTGCTCCTTCTGCCTGCCTCTCGATACCGTCCCTCTAGTTGCTGGTGCTCAAGGCTGGTATTTTGGGAGGGTGGGCAGGGTGCCCAAAGTGACAGATTTTATTGTAAAAGGAAAATGTCTCTGGAAGATTTTTGCATCGCTCACTGGGAGCACAAAACCTGGAGCCTTGCTCCTCTTTCTCTCTCT